TTTGTGCAGTGTTGGTAGGAGTGTAAAATATCACAATCACTGTGGGACCTGAGTTGGTTTAGCAGGTCCACACATAGGTATTTAGCAAAGAAAAGTAAAAACAAAGGCTCACAAATGACCCATCCAAAAATACTTGTACCAGCCTTATTCATTCTTAGCACAAATTAGAAACAACTCTAATGTCCATGAATAGGAGAATTTGTGAACAATCATGGTATGTCCATACAAAGACCTTTTACTCTACAATTAAAAAGAAGAACTGACTTACACACAACACTATGAATGGGTCTTTAAAACCTCATGATGAACAGTAGAAACCAGTTGGTTCCCCCGATATACTATGTGATTTCACTTATATTAAATTCAAGAACAGGAAAAAAAGAACAATGATGGTGATAGCAGTAAAAAATACTGTTTCTTCTGGGAAGTATGGTTTGGCTAGAAGGGGGCACAAAATTTATAGGGTCATAGGAATAGTCTACATACTGCTTTAGATGGTGGTGACACAGGTGTAAAAAATTCTCAAACTCATTGAAATGAACATACAGTATCTGTGCATTATATGAATTCTATTTAATAAAAAAGGACCAAAATAAAATAACACCTATATAGAGAGATGAGCATAATTATAGAAAGATATACATTTCTACAAATTGGAAAAGCCCAGGGAACCAGCAACCCTATCACGGAAGATGACACTGTCCACATTCCAGGCATCTCTTTTACCTGCTTCCTCTCTACAACCCCAGTTACCACCATCCTGACATATTCATGCATGGATTGTTTTGGTACATTTTTAAGTGGGGTCTTTTAGTATGGGCTCTTGTATCTGGATTATTACAATCTAACTTTATGATATTCTTATTATTATCTGTAGCCATAGATCTTTATTCTCAGAGCTGCATGTTCCTCTGTTTTCTTTAATCATCTATTTGTGTATATCTAGACTCTTCAGGCATACAACTCTCCTGCTGGTTCTTTTTTGATACTATATCTTTGTAAGCCATTAGAGGATCTGAGAGGAGGCTGTAATCATGGCAGACCACAGGTGTTCTGTAATAATTAGAAAAATACTAACACATTTCTGAAACTAAGAGAAAGCTGGAATACTCCTCTGGGTATGTTTTATTTTATTTAGGTTTATTTCTTAATAAGGCATACTTTTTTCATGAAATTCACTTACATGTTCAGTCTAATGTTTTTTAAGAACCAAATTCACCCACATAACAGGCAATACACAGAATATTTACTTTACCTCAACACTGCCCTCCTTCCTCATTTCAGTAGATCCCTTTGCTTGGAGACAACCACTCTCTACTACTAGTACCACTGATTGAATCATCCTTCACTTTAAAAAAAATTATCTCTTTGTAATATAAGAACTCAAGTGTCACTAAACTCATGTATTCATTTAAGGAAGACTACATCCATAGGCAATTAAAAGCTGTAATCAACTAAACCACACACATAAATCAGCACATTGATGCTAAGCAAATCAGTCATTAAATTCCATGTTGCTTAAACACAAAACAATTGCAGTGCATCTAGGGGAAAATGTCTTTGAGCCATACCTGCCACAGCAGGGGCTGACAGAAGCATTGCTGTTTTTGAATTGCTCCATTTTTTTTAAGCAGGAGAATAATGACACCTGGCCTGGTGAGTTTGGCTGCTATCATTTTGACTGCAGGGTGCTGTATCTGAAAGCCAGATTTTTCCTAGCACAGACTTACTAATGATTGCTGTTGGGCACATGCAACTGGACTAAAGCTGACACCCAGGAAATTTGCTATAATATCAGTAAACAGACAAGTAGCTTCATCCACTTTAAATTTCCGAGAATCCTTTAACCTGGAGTATAGGAAGAAAGTTATGATAATTGAGAGTGAATAATTTTGTCTTCCCATCTGGAAGAAAAATTGGTGAACATATTTCATCATAGATTTTTGCTGGAGACAAACAATCATACAGCATATGAAAAGAGAATTATCTTTTATTTCTGTAGTCACCTCAACCCGAAAATAAAATGTATTTCTCATAAAACTTTCGAGTCCACACTAAGTACATTGGCTGAATGTAGCAAATGTCTGAATCATCAATGGCCTTCAATTTAAAGTGACTCATGTACATGCCCAGAAGTAACTGTTTTCCATTCAATTACAATAAAACCAAATAGGCAGGTTAGATTCTTTGGTTATGTCAAAAGCCGTGGCAGAACACAGGGAAAATGAAACCAAGTGGCATTTCCTGTTCTGACACAGAAGCATCTAACCACTCAGTCATTGTGCACCTGCTTTCTGAGGCACAGGCCAGATCTTCAGACCTGGATTTGAGGCAGAGCAGAGCACACTCACTCACAGGGGAAGCTTCCGACATGTGGGTCCCCTGTCTGCTGAGGGCAGTCATAGCCTCCATGTGGCTTGGTAAGAATGGTGAGGGTGGCCACAGACTCAGGACCTGGCTCTAAGGGTGGGGGCAGAGGCAGGGTGTTATTGTCTGATGGGGTTAGGAGAGCAGAGTGATGGGCGTGGGAATCAGAGCTCTCCTACCCTAGATCCTCAGGAAC